GAAATGATGTGGTTTTGTTCTTTAGTCTATTAAAATGGTATATTATAATAATTGATAATTCATATGGTAAACCAACCTTACATTCTGGGATAAATCCCACTTGGTCATGGTTTATAATCCTTTTTATACATTGCTATATTTGGTAGGCTGGTACTTTCCTGAAGATTTTTGCATATATATTCATAAACGATACTGGTGTTTAGTTTTATTTTCTTATGATGTCTTTATCTGGTTTGTATATCAGGTTAAAACTTGTCTGGGAAATGTTTCCTCCGCTTTTATTTTCTGGATTTTTCTTTAAATATTTGGTCAGATTTACCAGTGAAGCCGTCTGAGCATGGGCTCTTTTTGTGGGGATTATTTGAATTACTAATTCAATTTCTGTCTTGTTATAGATACATTAAGATGTTCTATTTCTTCTTAAATCAGTTTCAGTAATTTGTGTTTTTCTAGGACGTTGTCCATTTCATCTAGATTATCTAATTTACTGACATATCATTCTTCTTTTGCAACGCTTTTTATTTCTATAGGTTCAGTAGTCCTCACTTTCAGTCTTGATTTTAGTTGAGTCTTCTTTTTTGCTTAGTCCATCTTGCTAAACATTGATCAATTCTGTTGATCTTTTCAAAGATACAACTTGCGGTTTTGTTTATCTTCTTGTTTTTCTATTCTCAATTCATTACCTTCTGCCGTAATCCTTATTATTTCCTGCCTTCTACTATCTTTGTTTTAGATTGCTCTTCCTTTTCTAGTTTTCTAAAATTAAAGGCTAGGTTATTGATTTCAGAACTTCTTTTTTAAAAATATAGACATTTACAACTATACATTTTCCTCTAAGCACTGCTTTTGCAGCATCCCATAAGTTTTGGCATGTTGGGTTTTCATTTTTATTTATCTCAAATTATTATCTAATTTTCCTTTGGCTTTATTTTTCTTCTTTGACTTATTGGTTATTTAACAATGTTTTGTTTAATTTCCACATATAGGTGAATTTCAAAAATTTCTGTTGTTAACATTTAATTCCATTGTGATGGAAAAAAAATACTTTGTAAAATTTCATTCCTTGAATTTGAGACTTGTTTCATTGCCTCATAGATGGTCTATCTTGGAGAATGTACCACATGCGCTTGAGAAGAATGTGTATTCTGCTATTTTTAGGAGTGTTCTATAGGTGTCTCTTAGATCTAGTGTTGTTTAAGTGTTCAATATTCTTGCTGATTTTCTTCTGATTGTTTCATTATTGAAAATGACCTATTGAGATTTTAAATTATTATTGTGAAATGATCTATTTCTCCCTTCAGATATGTCCATTTTCTCTTTATGTATTTGGGGCTCTATCATTAGATTAATATATATTTATAATTATTACATCTTCCTAACAGATTAACCCTTTTATCATTATAATATATTCTTTTTTTTATTTTTATTTTTTTTAGAGACAGAGTTTCACTCGTTACCCAGGCTGGAGTGCCATGGCGCGATCTCGGCTCACCGCAACCTCTGCCTCCTAGGTTCAGGCAATTCTCCTGCCTCAGCCTCCTGAGTAGCTGGGATTACAGGCACGCGCCACCATGCCCAGCTAATTTTTTGTAGTTTTAGTAGAGACGGGGTTTCACCATGTTGACCAGGATGGTCTCGATCTCTTGACCTCGTGATCCACCCACCTCGGCCTCCCAAAGTGCTGGGATTACAGGCTTGAGCCACCGCGCCCGGCCCCTATAATATATTCTTATTTATCTCTACTAGTAGTTTTTATCTTAAAGTCTATTTTATCTGATACTAGTAAAGCCACCTCAGTTCACTATGGTTCCATTTGCATTGTGTATCTTTTTCAAACCTTTTACATTCACCTATATGTATCTTTGTATTTAAAGAGAATCTTTTATAGACAGCAAACATATAGTTGGAACTTATTTGAGATAAAAAAAATTACTGTCGACAATCTCTACCTTCTGATTGGCTTAATTCAGTTGCATCTAATGTTATTGTTATATGGTTGTATTTATGTCTGCCAGTTTTTCCTGTATTTTAAAAATGTGTTTGTTTTCTGTATGTCTCATGACTATTTTGTTCCTCTGTTCTTTTACTACCTTCTTTTGTATTAAGTAGGCTTTGTCAAGTGTATCATCTTTAATTCCTTTAATAATTTTTTGAACTTTTTGGGGGGTTATTTTCTTAGTAATAACCACAGGGGCTACAATATATATTTTAACTCATCAGAATCTACTGCAAATGTATACAAACTAAATTCCAGCAAGATATAGAAGCTTTACTTCTACATAGTTCTGGTCCCTTCCCCAACATTTTGTGTTGTTTTTTGTTGTACATATTATGTCTATATATGTTACAAATCAAATACCATATTGTTATAATTATTGTTTTATTTAAAGAAGTTAATAGAATACAAACATACTTAAAGATATTTCTATCTTACCCATCTAAATACACATATACATCTATACAAATATATCTATATAGAACCATAGCTGTAGAAATATATTCTTTCTTTCTTATTTGCCGTTTCTGGTTCTCTTCATTTGTTTCTGTGGATTTGAGTTATTATCTTCTATTATTATTTTATTCCCATATAGCTTTATTTCCATCCCCCTCCATTGTGTTTATCGTCAGTTGTATGTATACATGTTATAAGCCCAATAAAATGTTATATTATTTTATGAAATTGTCTTTAATCAGTTAATAGAAGAAAGGGAAAGAAATATGTAATTATACCGTCCTTTATTATTAGCTACATACTTATTGTAACTCTTTATTTGTAAGGATTTGAATTACTATTTTGTGTCTCTTCCTTTCACCTGAAGAACTTCCCTTTAGTATTTTTTGTAAGGCAGGACTACTACCAATAAATTCTCTCAGTTTTTCTTTGTCTCAGAATGTCTTTGCTTCACCTTTATTTTTGAAAGATAACTTAGCTGGATATAGAATTCTTTTTTGGTAGCTTTTTTTTCTTCAGCTCTTTAAATGTCATTTACTTCCTTCTGGCCTCCATTGTTTCTAATGGCATGCTAGCTGTCAGTCGTTTTATGATTTCCTTATATGTATTTTTTTTCACTGCTTTCAAGACTTTATTTTCATTTTCAGAATTTTGATTATGATATGTCTGGATGTGGATTATTTTTCCACGTATACTACTTAGAATTCAATGAATTTCTTGAATGTAGTATTTTTTTTCAAATTTGTAGAAATTTTAGTCATTATTTTATTTCTGTATTTCTTTACATATTGTTTTTCTTTTTCTCTATCCTTTCCTGTTTTTAGAGATGGGTGTCACTCCCTTATCCAGGCTGGAGCGCAGTGTCTGTTCTTTCCTTCTGGTACTCTCAAAATGTATTTGTTGATGTATTTAATGGTATAGCACATTTCTCTGAGGCACTGTTTATTTTCTTCATTTCTTTTTTTTCCCCCTGCTTTCCTTAGTTCTTCGAACATATTTATAATCATTGCTTTGAATTTTTTACACAATAATTCCAACATCTTTGTATGATAAGGCCTCTAAAATGTAGTTTCTACTGCCTGCTGTTTTTCCTAATTATAGGTCACACTTTGCATGTTTCTCTGCATGGCTCAGTTTTTTGTTGAAAACAATATTTTAGGTAAAATATTGTAGTAACGCTGTATACTGACTCCATCCACCCTTCCTGGGTTTGTGGTTATTTGTTTTGTCATTTGTTTATCTGTTTGGTTATTTAGCTGGACTAATTCTGTGAAGTCTATTTCACCCACAGTCTGTAGCCTCTGATATCTCTGCTCTGATTTTTTACCTGGGGTTATCTTTTAGCCTGGCTTTTTATGGATCACTCCTTGGTCAATATAAGCCATTTTGTGGTAATTTTTATCCTCTACTGTCAAATATGTATGTGGATTGGAGACTGCTTTCATAATTCAGGGAGTTTTGTGGTTTTGCTCTGGGACTGGTAGTTTAGAAGTTTTAGCCAGGGACTGGTAGCTTGGAAATTTTGTCTCCAGTCACTCCTCAGAGGATACAGCCTTCAGCATATACAGTCTTACAGACCCAGTCATGATTATATTTCATTTTAAAGTGGGTAGAATAGCTTATTGTGCAGTCAGTGATGCACCACAGGTTGTACTATATTTATATCCCCGAGTCAGTAAGGTAACAGCTCTTTGCTAATCAATCTGAATGTGGCTGGGGAATACTTTCAAGTCTGCACCACATCTTGCCCTGATTACTACTGAGTAAGCAGAGCCTACGAGTAAGCACAGCCTTACAGACCCCAAGGATGAGTGAGCTCTTAGTGGGTCACTTTAGCTGTATGTTTCCCTGCTTCTCTCTGTTAAGCTTCTGGCTGGTCCTCTTTGTTTCTTTGTTGCTATTAGTTTCATGCAGCTATTAGCCTTCCAATTGTTCACCAACAAAAAAATAATTTCTGCCTTATAGCCACGTAATATAACTGTAATTCATACTTTTCTTACCTTTACAAAGTGACTAGAAAATAAAAGATTAGCCACTGAGTGGACACCCTAAACCAGGGGTTGGCAAGGTTTTTCAGTAGAAAGTCAGAGAGTAAATTCTTTAGGCTTTGCAACCCACATGGTCTCTTGTAACTACTCAACTCTGCCATTATAGCACAAGAGCACCCAGAGATAACATATAAATGAATGAGTGTGGTTGTTTTCAATAAAACATTACAGTTGACCCTTAAACAATGTGAGAGTTAGGGGCGCCAACCTACCGTGCAGTCAGAAATCCCATTATAATTTTTTACTCCCCAAAAACTTAATTACTAATAGCCTACTTGTAGAAAAATTAATTTTGAAATAATGTATATTTATTGCAATGCATATTTAAGTAAACCTCGCTACTTCCAATCGAGTATTAACATATTAAATTGCCGATAGTACCTTCGAGTTTCCTTCATTGCTGTTTGCTAAATTAGCCTACCTTTATGCTTTGACAGTATTGTATTTTCAGCTTAGACTAAACTTTAAGTTTTGAATTTTCTTTATTTTGTTAACTGTAGATATCGTGTTGAAGGGATAATTCCAGAATCAGCAGCTAAACTATCTGATTTCCTCTACCAAACTGGAGGCAGAGTTACATGGGATAAATCATTGCAAGTGTATGATATGGTACACAGGATTGATTCGGTAATTTGTTGTTTTAATACTAGACTTTTAGTACATTAATATGTTTTTAGTTTATACCTTAGTGAGTTGAGTTTATTAAAACTATGTTATGTAGACAAAGTATTTTATAGTTTCAAATTGACTTGAAGTCTTTATAAAAGCCTTAAAAGTTCCCTCTTTATTTTCCAAGGGTTTAATTCTAATTAGCTTTATTCTGCTTGTAAATGTGTATTACATTTTGAATCTGGTAAGCTCTCTTGCAATGTGTGCCATTTGTTATAAGGGAACAGAACTCAGGGATTCACCTCCGTTCCATGGAAAACAAAGGTTAAGTATGCCCCCTTGATGGGAAGTCTATAGACCTATTTTAGTTATGTTACATTAGGTATTAGGAAACTTACAATCATGGCAGAAGGGGAAGCAAGCACATTTTACCATGGCAAAGCAGGAGAGAGAGGAAGCACGGGGGAGATGCCACACACTTTTAAACCATCAGATCTCATGAGAACTCACATCACAAGAACAGGAGCAATGCAGACACATACCATAAGGACTTAAAGAAAAGCAGCATGTAATGTTTAAGAGTAAGTGTATGAGACCGTTCTCACACTGCTCTGAGGAAATACCCAAGACTGGGTAATTTATAAAGGAAAGAGGTTTAATTGACTCACAGTTCTGCATTGCTGGGGAGGCCTCAGGAAACTTATAATCATGGCAGAAGGCAAAGGAGAAGCAGGCACCTTCTTCACCGGGCAGCAGGAGAACAGCATGGGGGAAACTGCCCCCATGATCCAATTGCCTCCACGTGGTCCCTCCTTTGACAGGTGGAGATTACAATTCAAGGTGAGATTTGGGTGGGGACACAGAGCCAAACCACAGCAGTAAGGATAAAGTAAGGAAATAACATTATATAGAAGGTTGAAGTTTAGGAACTCTTTCAAATATGTTATCTCAGTTAAACAGATATAAAGAGGGAAAATAAAAGAAAAAACACAAAGGTAACTGGAGTAGAAAGTTAAAGATACAGTTGAGAGAAGAGAAAATGTGAGAGACAAGTATGGTTTAGGGAGAGACAGAAGAAAGGATCAGTATGAGGTAAGGGCAGAATGAAAGCTCAGGTGCAGAAAAAATGAATGAAATGACAGGAATAATGATACACGGTAAAAAGAGGTTGTATTAGTCTGTTTTCACACTGCTATAGATAACTACCTGAGACTGAATAATTTATGAAGAAAAGAAGTTTAATTGACTCAAAGTTCTATAGGCGTCACAGGAAGCATGACTAGAAGGCCTCAGGAAATTTACAATCATGGCAGAAGGTGAAGGGGAACACCTTGGCATGAGATAACAGGTAACTCTCTTGTTTCTTTGGCAGAAAAGGAGAGAGAGGGAGCTAAGGTGGAAGTGCCACATACTTTTAAACCATCAGATCTCATGAGAACTCATTATCACGAGAACAGTGATTTGGAAGTCTGCCCTATGATTCAGTCACCTCCCACCAGGCCAATCCTTCAATTAAACATGGTATTTGGGCAGGGACACAAATCCAAACCATATTAGAAGTAGCAACAAGGATGAAGAAATGGGATAAGTGATTCTAAACTTTGGTCCAGCACACTGTAGATATCGCATTTATTTATTAAAGCCATTATAAAAATAACCACCTGGAGGGATGGGGGATGATTCTTCTCTCCTCCTGTAATGTATTAAAATTCATTCCCCATTTCTGTTATTATTTGTGTTTTCTCCCTCTCAGGAAATCTGTTTGTGGGGGAATCCTGACTTTGTTCCAACCTCTCCCAAACTGATGTGTATGTTCTTTTGACTAATTAATTCACTTCACTAATACTTTTTGAGCAACTGTTGTGAACAACATGCTGTTTCAGGCACTAGGGACATATAAGGGAAGAAGAAGAAATTGTCCCTGCTTTCACAAAACTTATATTCTCATCAGAAGAGACATAATAAATAAACAATTTTTTAAAACTTACCATATAATGAAGGCTAGGATTGGTATGAGTATTATGAAGGATAATAGTAATATCCTTATTACTATTAATAACAATGGTAATAACCAGGAGAAGCTAATTGATAGCTAGAGAATTGGGAAAGGCCTCTCTGAGTAAGAGACATTAGAAACCTTGGTAACAAAATGGAGATTAGGGAGATAGACATGCAAAGATCTGGGAGAGAGTAACAGACATAGGGGAAAGCAAATGCAAAGGCCTTGTGGTGGAGAGTTTGGCAGTGTTCAATCAAGAGGTAAACAAGGTCTATGGGGTTTGACCATAAAAAGCAAGAAGAGTGGTTACGAGGTGAGAGGTTAGGCTTGGATCAAATTCTGCAAGAGTCTTAAAGGTCAGGGGGAGAAGTTTTGCTCTACATTCAGTGGGAAGCCATTGGAGTGTTTTAAGCAGGGAAGTGACTGATTTGATTTACACTTTTGAGAGACAGCTGCTGAAAGAGCATGGATTGTAAGGGGTAAGAATGAAATCACCAAGAATAGTTAGGAGGCTATGAGAGTAAGCTAAATGAGACATCTTGGTGACTTGTGCTAGGATGATAGATGTAGAGATGGAGGTAAGTCAGGGAACCCAAAGATATAGAGATAGAGTCAATAGGGCTGTCTGATACAGGGAGAGAGGAATCAGGTAAGTTTTCTAAAACTGGATTGTGTTGTAATTGCACAAATACATTTCCTTTAGGAAACTCATTGAACTGTATACTTAAAATAGGTGAATTTATGGTATGTATATTATACTCAAGCTGTTTTTAAAAATGAGTCCTAGATTTCTGGCTAATAAAAACTTTATTTAAAAGAGATAAGAAATGTGAATGATTGAATAAAGGAAATTTTTATGATTTTCACAAATAATTGTATTTGTAAAATTTCAGATCACTAGGCCTTAGGTTCTTTAATTCTGCAATCTGCATTCATTTATCAAAGCAAACAAAAATAAATAAATAAGCCACATATCTGCCATCATTTTATCATTTACTTAGAATTCTGTAGTTTTACCTACTTTTATTAAACTGATCTTAAAATCTGGGAGAGAAGAGCTGCAAAAAAGCCCATGAAGGTGAATCTGTTTCATCTTGTAGAAAGTTCTTGATCTTCATCTTATCAATCAGTTTTATTTTGTAGAGAGTAAGTTCTACACAAAAAACACATGTCCATGACCTTGGGATTTGAACATTCAGTTTGAGAACCAATGGACATCACAAATGAAAATCCCGAAATTAAACTATTTCATTTATCTTTGTGTGATACTAATCATACAGTTTGATTAGTGCTTCAGATATTTCTATTGTTGCAAATCATACGTTATAATAGAATACTAGATGTGACATCCAAAAACGTGAAAACAAACTCAGAGATTATGTGACTTACTCAAGGATAATGCAGCTAGTATGTGGTAGAACCAGGACTTGTACCCAGTCTCCTAATTCCAAATTTTGTGCCCTTTCCAGTATACCATGTATCTCTGAATAGCATTATACTGCAAGAGGAATTATTTTACCCTTCTGTTAATATTTATAGTATTCATCTCCAGGACTATGTTTTATTTAGTTAATTATTTTTAAAATAATAATCATTTTTTTAGAGATAGGGTCTTACTCTATTGCCCAGGCTAGAGTGCAGTGGTGTGATCAAAGCTCACTGTAGCCTCAAACTCCTGGGTTCAAGCGATCCTCCTACCTGAGCCTCCCAAGTAGCTGGAATTACAGGCATGTGCCACTATGCCTGGTCAAGGATGTATTTTAACTGCCTCCTCTTCAACCTACTGGTGAGAGAGAGAGTCCCACTCTAGGGTTATAGGGATGGCCAAATACATAATACTCATTACTGGAGAAGTGAGGTATACTGAAGTTTATTAATCATTAATCACAGACCAGGGAGGGAGGACAAACTATGCCACACACGGCAACATGGGAACAGAATGAATACCTACGGGCTGTGGGAGGCAGCCTTTGCATCAACAGGATAGGGTGAGCCCCAGTTCTTGCAGGAGAATGTGATTGACTTGTTTGAATTCCATGGGCCATCAGGGAGATGAAACCACTAAACAGAAATAAAAAATAATAACTGTGCTGGTCCTGTTGAGAAGCAGGATTGTTTGGCTAGGGTATTTTATCTGCAGGAATGAAGAAGGAAAGGAATGTGCAGTTAGGCCATTCAGGACCCTCCTGGTTTCACCCTATGCTGGTTTTACCAGCATATGATACTGGGCTTTAATTTTAGACCTTACCCCACAGGGTGCTAAATCTATGTATTTTTTAAAATACATTACTTAGCCTATGTGGAGTAGCAGAAGTAGTACTGTATGGGGAATCAGGAAGCCTGGGTTCTATTTCTGTACTTATCTCTAGTTGTGCATGTGATTTAATTTGTTAGGCTTCAATTTCTCCATCTAAAAATGGAAAGAGTAGATGATCTCAAGATTGCTTCTTGAATTTTCTATACTCATTGATTTAACGCTCCTTTAACATTCAAAATCCAAGCTGATTTGCTGATAAGGTCTTAAAATTTCAAAGTCCTGCTTTTTCCAAATAGAGGCCAATCATATGCAATAAAATTTGGGAGGGAAATGAAACATAATAGATACTAAATAATTGTTGTAAACTTTATGGTTTGAATTGTTGCAGGACACTTTCATATGTCATACCATTACACAAAGTTTTGCTATGGGCTCCATTTCTCCTCGAGACTTTATCGACTTAGTGTACATCAAGTGCTACGAAGGAAATATGAACATTATCAGTTGTAAGTTGAAACATTTTGCCCATATCTTGGAATTACTATGAGCCATTAATAAGTGTTTTCCAGAAATAAAAAGAAAATAAATGTTTTCCCTTTATTCAGAGTTTGAAAGAAATCATATTTATAATTACTGACTTTTAAAATGTACTCAGTGGGATCAACAAGTACACATATCATATAGACATGTCTGGGGACACTCTGAAGGTCCCATTTATGTAACAATCAATGTTTACAACATCTCTTAGACTTCCCCAGCATACATCCTGTAGCACAGGGTATAGACAGATACTTGTAGCCTAAAACATCAAGGTATACATTTTTTAAATCCTAAGTAACAAAATTAACTGTTAGATATAATTTTATATTTGAATTGCTTAGAATGGGCATACCCAGTAGCTGATAAAACTGTAAAAGAAATTTCCACTAGATGGCTCTTCATATAAATGTGCTTATATTTCTTTTAGAAACTGCAGGTTTTGATATATCCCTATTCCCATTCCCAAATGTGTCACTCTGTAAAATGCAAATATGTAATCATTTTCTAATTTGCATTATTTGATCAAACATACCATTTCATACCATAAGGATCTACAGACTCAGATAATTTAAAATAACTCATGGTGAAGGAATTTTGGTAGCACAGTGGCATAGAGCCCTTTTTTCTCTATGATTTGAATTAATTTCACCATTCCTATCTGAATAGTTTCCCCTATTGTAAAGTACTTGGGAACAGGGACAATTAAGTTTTATTAATTATTATTTCTCAACAAGATTTCACTTCCTCCGAGGTATCTTTCATACTCTTAAGTTTCAGAGTCCAGATTGAGTTGCAGCACTCATTCAAACCCAGTTAGCTCTTTCTACAGCATACCACTAAGGGCTGATGTTCACAATGTTCATATATGTCTAATTGTCTTGTTTTTGAAATGAGGGTACATATAATGTATTCACTGCCTGCAACATAAAATAGTCTGCCTGAACAGAGGGTAGATCTGTTATTTTCCACATTTTGAAGCAGACCATTACTATATAATTATTAGTGATCAGAGGGAAGCTAAAAAAGAAGTAGAGGTTAAAATCGACATTTAGAGGTAATCAATCACGTGGTGCACAAATCACTACTGAATTTTCTGTAAGAAGTTTCCGTTGAATGAATTTTTGATCAATACTCATGGTTTTCTTAAGGTTTCTTTCTTTTTTTAATTCTACTCTACATGTTGCTTTAAGCTAAATATTTTGCTTGCATTATGTCACTAGAGAGGAAACTGAAGTTCATGGAAATTAAGCGGTTAAGAAATTAAGTTACATAGCTAGTAAGCAGCTAAACCAGAATTAAAACTCAGATCTTTCTGATTTTCCAAAATAAGTGCTAACTACCACACCATATGCTTCATAAAAGACCCATACCTGCTTGTAGACTACAACAGATTTTTTAAAAGAAGACAAGTATAATTTCCATATTTCAAACAGAGAAAAAATCTTTTATAATAACATCACTTCTGGCAGTACTATTATAGGCTCTGTTGAGATAATAAATAAATCATAAAAATGGAAAATTCATTCAACTACTCTAGTCTCCTAAGTTAGTGTTTCACATTGTATTGATTTCCTTATGTAAAATCATATCAGAAAATCCATCTTCTCTGACAAGAGCAGGATTCAGTTGCACAGAATAAACAAATATATTTTTAGAAATATTTTAGAAACAGCATATATATTATCATAAATTAAATCATAAACTACCCCCTCTGCATTCATATACAATACAGATACTAGGTTGCATAATTCTAAAATGAACTCTACTGATTTTTAGTTATGATTTGAAGTTAGCTACAGGGAATGGCAGAGGGAGTGTTTTAAACTATCTTTATTAACAGACCACCTAACCACTTCAAATATTTTATTAAAAAAAAAAAAAACCATGATTAACACAAAAATCTATGAACCCACGACCCTAGGAGAATAGTTTTCACACAAAGCTAGTTTTCAGTTTTCACTCAAACCCAGTGATATTTTAAGTTAGTTATCAGCAATAACTATTCCCTGAGATTTGAGCTACCTTTTCCTTCAAATCTAAGAAAATAGTTAAATGATACTTTTAACCATTTTTATTGTATACAGAAGTTGACAGCATCTTTAGAAATACTAGCAGGAAAAAGTTTAAAAGGACAACAGTGCTCATACTGGTGTTTTTTCAATTTTGGCTTGTGTGCACCTTCATATGTGCAAATACACATTCACATGTATAAAACTAATGTTAATGCTGATAACTAACTTAAATGCTATATTATCTAGTTTTTTAAATATGCTACTGGAAATAGTTTTTCATCTTTGGGAAACAGGTTTCATTTTAATTTTTTTTATCTCTTAGCTAAAAGTGTGGATTTTCCAGAATATCCTCCATCTTCAAATTATATCCGTGGTTATAACCACCCTTGTGGCTTTGTATGTTCACCAATGAAAGAGTAAGTATTATTTGCACTTATTTATTTTAACAGCTTTTTGGTTCGACTTGTGATTTAGTTCAAGATTCCTGCTCATCAGTAGAAATATGTACCAGCATATTCTGTTGGGGAAAAAACCTGTGGCTCAACATGATTTTTAAAATAACTTCTTATAATCGTTTTCATTTTAAGTATAATCAGAATGGATACTTCCCTATAAAGTTGATCTGAGTTTCTGAGAATAGTCAAACACACACAAGCATTTCCCAGCAGTTAAGCTTCCTTGATGTTTTCTATTTCTCCATTAGAGTCATTTCTGTAAATTATTAAGGAATTTTTGTGAATTAAAAAATAAATACTCCTAGAATTAGAACATACTTATATTAGTAACGAATGCTTTACTTTGAATGAAATCTTCCCAATGGACTACGTACTAAGAGCAGATACCTGCAAAATGAGATCCAGCAGTTATAGTTAGAAAAAAGAAAAGCTGAAGAAATCAGAGATGAGTCACTACGTAAAGGTGGCCTCCGGATAAAATGGCAGCATATAACATACATATTTTGCAAAGGCATAAACTCTATTTCAATGTATATCATTTCACAAGTTCATTAGGTTTTAATGTTTGCTAAATGATTTTTAATTAAGTAAAAGATTTTGGACCATGAAAACAGATATATTGGTCAGATAAAAATGTATGTGAAGGAAGCCCAAATGAAATTAAATTTTGGATCTGTATTCCTTGACATTTCCTCTGCTGAAATAGAAAACTAAAAAACCTCATAATTATTCACATTATTGTATAGGATTTGTTGATACAGATAATAATAACAATGTGTGGTCTTTCTACCCATTTGTCAATTTTGAATCTATGGTCAAGACTTTATTCCCAAAACAAATGAAGGATAATTACTCCAATTCAGCAAGGTAAATCAACTGCTTGCATGGACTATAGTTGGAAAATTACACACCTTAAAAGTGTGCTTCACAAGCCAAGTCCCCTTCTTGCACCTTGTCAATGTAAAAGTGCACTCCAGTAAATGTTGGAAAGGCTTTCTTATGTGTGTAAAGCCATCATAAACACAAATAAAGATTTAAGACCATACAAACTACCAGAAAGGAGAGTAGTCCCCCCCCCCTTTTTTTTTTTTGAGACGGAGTTTCGCTCTTGTTACCCAGGCTGGAGTGCAATGGCGCAATCTCGGCTTACTGCAACCTCCACCTCCTGGGTTCAGGCAATTCTTCTGCCTCAGCCTCCTGAGTAGCTGGGATTACAGGAACGCGCCACCATGCCCAGCTAACGTTTTGTATTTTTAGTAGAGATGGGGTTTCACCATGTTGACCAGGATGGTCTCGATCTCTTGACCTCGTGATCCACCCGCCTCGGCCTTCCAAAGTGCTGGGATTACAGGCGTGAGCCATCGCGCCTGGCCCTCCCCCTTTATCCATGGAGTTATGTTCCATGACTCTAAATAAATGCCTAAACCCATGGAGAGTACCAAACTCTATGTATACACCATGTTTTTGATCTCATAATCAAGAGGGCTACTAAGTGACTAATGGGTGGGTGGCCTATACAGCCTAAATATGCTGGTAAAGGGATGATTTCACATCCTATGTGGGACAGAGCAGGACGGTGTAAGATTTCGTCACACTACTCCATAATGTGCAATTTAAAACTTATGAATTTTTCTTATTTCTGGAACAGGTTGAATTGGGTAAATGATATTGCAGAAAGGGAAACAAAGGATAAGAGGAAACTAAGATGTTCTCAATCTAACCATTTATGGCTAAATGTTTATGTGTGAACCCTGCATAGAGAAAAATATAAGAATTTTATAAATGGACGATCACACTATTTGTTGGAATGGTAGTCTTCCTTAAAAATGTTATAAAACTATATTCCCCCTTGCACATTTTTAAGTTGACATTAAAATTTTTCATAGGATTACACTGATGAAAAGTAAATTACATTGATGAAAAGTACAATTCCCAGTGTGTGTGAAATATTGACATTTTAAAAATGGTTACATCATCCTTATAAACATATACAGTATGTTATAAATACCATAACTTGAAACCCACCATTAAATTATCCATTTCAAAATATATACAACCTTTAACAGTCAGAACATTTACATCATTCTGTTCCTCCTTGAACTCACATTTTTATTTTTCCCCTTCATATAATTTTATTCTAATAGAATATATTTTATGCTTTGAGTTCTTTCATAGTCATCCTAATTCTCCATAAAAATGACATGTTTAAAGTTTTAAAATTTGTTTTATTTCCTACAACCATACTATCTAAAAATTAAAAATATATATGTGCCTTCTGGATTAAGTTGTTATAACATATTGATCACAATTAAAACTATTTAATTACAAATTTAAATACAAATTTTGTTACATAATTATTAAACATAATTCAAGCTGTCATTAGAAACATGTATTTTATTATTAGCAAAACTGAAATAGCACTTACTAGTGCTAGGCACTGTTATAAACAATTGGCATATATTGACTCATTTGATCTTCAAAGTAATCCCATAAAGTAGGTAGCATGACAATGCCCAATTGGCAGGAAAGAAAGTGGAAGCCCAGAGTGATTAACTATCTGAAGGTTACATACAGGTAATAGGAAAGCTAAGTTTCAAACCAAGGCAAGCTAGTTCCTGACTCCATGCTTTTAAACATTACACTCATTTCATTTAACTGTGGGTGTATATTACTGATAAAAAAAGACAGCATTCAATATCAAGTCTACTACTGCTTTCATTTTAAGAAAACTGAAGAAAATTTATTAACATAAATATGTTAAAATGGTGAGAGTATAATGCCAGCACTGTCATTCAATGCCTTGAAATCTTTCTGAA